AATCTTTGGAGAATCATAAACAAATTGTGTTAAATTACCATTAATGGAAACACATCACAAGAAAGGAAAAGCAAGGTTGTTAATGGTATCGCTGTTCTTAACTTTGGGCTGTGATGGCTGTAGAGGCACAGTCCTGCAGCACTGAAGTAATGTATGTAAGATCACCCACTGTTCTGAGGCCTCCAGACAAGCTAAACACAGCAGGGTGAGTAGCACTGGAATTTGTTTTACAGGAAGCCTTTCATTTCCTTGCTTTTGAGGGGTTAAGTGAGGCACTTCAAGTGCTGTTCTCCCATGAGGTCTACACTAGGGAAGGGTAGTTTTAGTTTCCCCCAGGGGCTCCATAGCAGCTTTGGCAGCAGAGGCTGCTGTTGAAAGAGAACAGCCGGATGCAATGAATCAGTGTATTCCCCAGCCACTCTGGCTGTGTTTCCTTCCTATGCAGTGCTGTCCACTTTTCAGACTGCTGTGTCCGATACTGGTCCCCAGACCTGTGCTGCCGCTGTTGCTCTTGACAGATGGGTATGCCCCAGAGGCCTCCAACCTTGGTTTTCAAAAGGCCTGGATTGGGACAAAATTAATTGATGATGCTTTAATTGCTTCTTTTTATGTCATCTGGGGAATGCACTGAATAGAATGTGAATGTATTGTTGTGTAAAGTAACAGTTTCAGTATGAGCTGTTTATGATCCTTAGTAACATCAAGCGTTCATTAAACTTATGAAAATCCCACCACCATGCCTATGCTTGTTCAGGTATGGCTTTGGGAAAACTCAGGTTATCAAACTCAAGCTCTGGTCAGGAGTTCTTAATTCATTAAAATCCTTCAATGTCAAAGTGTCAAAAGACTTCACCTGCAAAAGCCAGATTTCTGCTGCCCTGGGAAATCTATTGCATCTCTGGTGAGCCTGGCTGGTTATCCAGGTCAGAGCTCACAAAGCACCCTGGCCACAGCACAGATTACCCTGTGTGGGGAGCCAGGACTGTGGCTCCTGCCAAAGAATCAGAGGAACAAGAGCCTTGAGCGCTCTGCCTGTAGCAAGTAGAAAGCCTTGGGAGATGCAGGTCTAGCTGTGGGCCGTCCCACCACAGATGGCTATCACTAGTGACCAAACTCAAAGTTCAACATTGCTACTTTTCCAGTCAGGTCACTATATTAAAATAATTCAATGCCAGAGAGGCCAGAATATGTTCCTAATACAAAATTTCACTTCTGAAGAATCTTATTTCACATGGGTTGGTGAGGACTGAAAATGCACAAATAATTCTACTTAAGTTGAGTGAGTTCAACCTTGTTTGTTTATTACTTGAATGAAGTGATAAACGGTCTGTTCCAAAATTTACAAAAAGGGAAAAAAAAAAAAGTTGTATGAATGTGAATCAATATGACAAGTTTCACCCCAAAACTAACTCTTCATATTATATGTCATCCTATCATCAAAAAGTCTATCATGGAGATGTGCCCAGTGCAAAGGAAATCCTTCAAAGCTGTTTTGATAAATCTGCTACTGTAAGACTTTCCATCATGACATTTTTCATGTAAAATATGTATAAACAGTACTACAGAAATATTATATTTAAAATTTGTAATTCAAAGCATTTTCTCATGCTTGTCACAATAATAAATTAAATCATGTTGTAGCTGTGTTGCCCTGGCATTTTCCTACTGTAGGTTATAATTTTATAACCATGCAGTATTAAAGCAAGATACATGACAGGGTAGAACTTTAGAAAGTACATGGGCTATGATAGAAGAAACCACTTCTATCTTTTTTTTTTTTCTAAAATCAGATTGTTTCAGCTTCCAACTCCATATTGGCCTTAAAATCCACAAATCATTCTTCCTTTTTCTATTCATGTGTTTTAATGTTTTTAAGTTAATTGAGTGTTCTTTATACAAGAATGTATTATATCAATACTGAAGAAAATTAATACACATTTTAGCTAAAGAACAATGTTACCTGATGTAAAAGAGTGATTGTTTAAACACTGGATCCAATTTATAGCTCTCTGCGACAAGGGAAGACTTCCATTAGCGCCCAAGCTTCTCAGTAGGGTGACTCAATCCTTAAACCAATAGTGTTCTTTTAATGAGCTCACACAATTTTAATATAGAATTGCCATTCTCAATTTAAAATTCAGTTTAAAAGGGATATATCGGCTTTTCAGATTTTTTTTTTTTTGTGCTTTTGAAGATCCTTATACATTTTTGAGAGACTGGTAGAGATATGATTACATGCAGGTAGTACCCGATTCCATCTAACCATAATTGCGTTTATTCACATTAAAATACATAGTAACCACGTTTTTAAGGTGAAAAGGGAGAATTGGTATGATTTTATACCTGTATCATGCAAGTATTCTACAGATATTAGATACACATACGTAGATATTCCTGTGTCCACCCATCTATGGGTTATTTAACACAAATTTCCTATTTATAAACTTCCTTACTGTGAGATTGATTTATTTTGATTTAATGATGAGATTTTAAAGCAATCCAAATATCATAGAAGTGCCATGTAAAAATGAGTTAAAAAAAACTCACACCCAAAAACCCCCAAACAAACAAACAAACAAAACCCCAAAAATCCAAACAAAAAAACCCCAACAACAAAACCCCCTACAACCTGCTCCTTACTTCCTCAACTGTCATTTCTCAAGACAATACAACTATTCAGGAAATGTCTTCTGTGTCAAAGAAACTTGAATGCAGCATTACCATTTAGCAGCAATAATTAACCTTGTGATTTGGCCAATATTGTCTCTAGAAGTCTGCAAATTTTTCATTAGTAACAGCAAAAAAAAAAAAAAAAAAAGTAAAAATCTTTAAAGCAACTAATATGTTCACTGGGTATCTGTGCCAAAAGTGAATGCACGTGCCATAATTAGGTAGCAACAAAGCAGGTGGATTATATGCTCGCTGTCATTTAAAGTATCCTCTTAGCATAGACAGCAAATTTTCTATTAAAAAAAAAAAAATCCATTTATAAATACTGTTATTTTTTCCTGACATCATTTCAATCACAAATCAAATAATGTTATAAATCATGGAAAATTTGGGAAACTCCTCTAAGTCCCTGGGCTTCCCATTGAACTGCAGTCTGAAGAAAAAATTTAAGTTGTTCATACAGAGAACTAGAAGATATTTTCCTGTCATTATTGATCTTGCAAAATATTTTGTGTGAAATTAGGTGGATTAAACACATCTAGTCAAAATGTATATGAAATTCCCTTTTTTTTTTCTTGAAAACTTCTTCCTCACTTCCCTTTCTCATTAACCTACTAGTTTTCCATAGTGAGCACCACCCTGGGCCTACTTACGTCAGTGACTTTTATGCCATTAATTGAAAATGGAAGCAGGATGTGATCCAGTAAATTATGCCCCAGCATGGTCTGCTCAGTATTGTGTTAGACCTTGGGAATAGTAAAAAGAAAGCTCCTTGTGAATTTAACTCTTTAAAATATTTATTCTTGTGTTTGCAATATAAGGTACTGTTATTCTTCTTCGATGTTCTGAAGGTTTCTCAAATTATCTGAAAAGTGCTTTCAATAGGTAAGCCTTCTAAGGCAATATAGTTACCATTAAACCCCTTAGACATCCTAAATATTAAGGAAAAATGCCAATAATCCAGTAAAGTTAACTAGGCATAATTGTAAAGAATTTATTGATGACCACTGCATGACTCATTTTAATATTGCTTATAAAATCTTTGGACCACCTGAAAAAGGATAATATTGCTGGATTTGAGGACTATAGTTGAGCTCCTAGAAAACAAATCAAAAAGGAAAGTTCTTACATGTAGCTTTTCTCTCCTTATCTCTGTCATTTCTCTGTCATGAATTAAGTCCTGCAGTTATCGGTGTCCTACTTTTCATCTTCCATGGCTACTATCCGATGAACTTTCCAAAGTCAACTCACATTGTTTTCTAGGATCTATGCTACTTTCCCAAGACCAAGTTTACTTGGCAACTAAAATAGGATAGTCCACTTTATTTTTGTCATGAAATGCCAGGGTCTGGGAGCAAACTGGGATTGCAAAAGAGCTAACAGACACACACAAATGATATTCAAAGAAGTGGACCTTGTTACCAAGATCTGAAAAGTATCCTGGGGCCTGGACTCTGCAATGCCACATGCCAAACCAGATTTTTCGTACTCTCATGCTTTGCTTTTGGACATGGATGAGCACCAGGTTTTTTACTCCCTATCGTAATTCCATCTAAATTAATTTGGTTTTACTTTGGCATTCTTTAATAACCAAATCATACACCATTTCTACTTATGTGACACTTTACTTATCTGTACCCTATCTCTGTAAGCACCTTATCAGAACACTGGCCATCAGATAGCAGAAGTACCTTTCTGAAACTCATCCTTAGGTGTCTTTTCTGAAATCATATGTCTTCTCCCTGTCATGCTCAAGAAAATTCCAGTCAGTCAGTAGGGCAAACTTGGTGAGTTTATTGTCTGGGACTTCTGAGCAATACCACAAAAAGTCTTCAAAAACAGGCCAAAAAAAACCCTAACAGTTTAGCTATATTGATCCTGCTTTGGTGCTGGGGAATGAATTGAGTGACTTCTTGATATCCTTTTGAGCTCTGTTTTCTATGATTCTAAATTCCTAGATGCACCCTCAGTGTGATTCTCTATCTGCAGATTTTTGGGTAGCAAAAGAATATTACAAAATACAACCATGGCAGAATATATACTTGTCTCAATCCTTTATTCCAAGTGACTATCCAATTAAACCATTCACTTCAGTATCCTGCTGGTTTTCTCATTTGTTGACTCACGCAGAATGAGGGCAGAAGAGCACTGCTGAACACCTGATTACATCCTTGCCAATGGGAAAACTGTATAGACAGACACCAAGAGTGCCAGCTCAGCATTAAAAGCTTATATAAATAAAATACCAGAGTCCAGATTAAGCTTACTCTTTACTGTTTTCTTCAATAGGCAAATGCAAATAAATTTCTCCATAATTTATGTCTTGACAGATGATAATGAATGTGAAAATGCTACTCAGCCTTGTGGAGAGCATGCCAATTGCACAAACACAGTGGGAAGTTATTTCTGCATGTGTATGCCTGGTTTCAAATCCAGCAATGGTCAACAAACTTTTGTACCTAATGATGGAACCTCCTGTGTGGGTAAGTTATTAATGTCTTCCAGCTTGCTTACATTGTCACTCTTATTGCTTCTGTTAGTTACAGAAATCTAGCAAAATGCTTTTAGATTTGTGAAGTTTGGAGTCTGACTATAAAATTCCCTCAACTTGGACTGTTACAGACTTAATATTTCAGTGCAGGCCCACACTTCTCACTACCACAGCAGCTGTCACTGCTTTCAGTAACACTTCAATCTTGACTCTGCTTGCAGTATTTTTGTGTCTCAGGTTTAGACAATGAATATATAGTTAAAGTAACACAGAAATCCCCAACCTACCTATTTATGCCACTCTTTCACTGATCTGTGAGAAAAGTGGTTGTGTTCTTAAAACAAAGCAGTGACAAAGTATTCTGCATTAAGGTCGCTCTGGACCAACAAAATTCCCTATACAGTTGACCTACTATGCTCCAAAACTATGCTTTTTTGTCTGGGAGTTTTGATTGTGATATTTTTGGTAATTTTTCAAGTCTGATCAAAAGCAATGAGCAAGATCAGTAGTTAATCTACCTCCTGTGCCATCCATCAGCCTCTGTTTCTGTAGCAGCTGGATGGAACCTGTTCAAGATTACAGGGGAGGAAGAGTTCTCTGGAAAAATGTTATTTCTGAACAGCTATGCAATCCTTTAGGATTTCCTTTGGATGGAAGAACTGTAACTATTTCTTTTCTTTCAAACTCCTGGTAATTTTCTCTGTATGTTGCAACAGTCCTCAGGGAATCAGAAAATGAGAAATAAATCTATCGCCCTTTACACCTTTATGCTGACTGTGTCTCATTCTGTATACTTCTCCTGTGAGCTTGTGAGTGCTGACAACCTCTCTTCTTACTGATCTTAATATCAGCAGAATGGCTGCATATTAAGCCAGAAAGTGATCTAATCAACATTTCTTGCCCATTGCTCACAGCCATCTAAAAGAGCTCCACTTTGCCCAGGCAGTATGAACTGTTCTTAAATTAGCTGGGATTGAGACTGTTAGCACATTAAGCTGTAAATATTCTTGCTGTTTCTGGTCTAGGCTTTGATTTTTATGTTATGACATTTTCTCAGCTTCAGAAGTTTCGTCTTCAAAGTTATTTCTCTGACTGTTCTTGTGTCACTTTAGCTTTTTACCATTAGCTTGCCTTTCTTTTTCTTTTGCCCTCTTTTCTTTACTGGGCAGACTGATCTTTTTTATCCTCTACTGGGGGTTAGTTTACCACTTTCCTTTTCCATTTTGCAAATTCACATGGGAGGAGGTGAGAGCTTCCGAAACTCACACTGAAATAAAAAAATCACCTGTGGGCACCTTTTCTCATTATACAAGTGTACCAATTACTTTACCAAGCAGCGAGTCCTAAAGACAGCCTTTTGATCCACAATTAATTTTCTACTTTGTCAGTCAGGGAAACCATAATAGGATATTTTGTACCCAATGAATCTGCTGCTGCTGGTAGCAGATACGACTGGCACACAAGCAGCTGTCAGTAGTGTATTCAGGGTGTACTACACACCCCTGAAGCAAATACTGAAGTTGTCATTGTAAATACAGTGCAAATTACCCAGTGCAAATTACCCAGTACAAATTGGAGGACAGAGCTACCAAGTATCCATCTTACCCAAGTTTAGAGGTGCCAAAACATTTTCAGATTCTGCAAAGTTTTAAGTTTTCTCTTTAATATATGTGTATAACACATATGGCAGCACCTTTAAAAATGCAGTGGTTGGATTTTGGAGAGTATGCCATTATGCAACCTGTTTATGCTATCAAACCAAACCTAGTGGTGCAAGTGTGGTACATCAATGTGTGTGTGTGTGAGTTCACTTCAAATTCCAGATGGATACATGTTTCTCCCCTCTTTGGATACTATACTAAACATCCAAACACAAAGTGATTATGACTCTTAAGATAGTAGATAAGAAGAAAACTTGGTACAATGGCTTTGGGAAATGTCAGTTCACCCTTAACCCAACCCTCCTGTTGAGGGTCAGCAGTATTTCATCCATGTTAGCAGACTAGAATTGGTGAGGAGAGGGCAGTGAAACATGCAGATAGAGGAGGAACTGGAGGGTAGGAAGAGAGAGAGAGGAAAAGAGAAGGAGAAAGGAAATGGAGAAATAAAAAAAAAGGAATGCAGAGGTGTGATGTTTCTGAAGATTATATTTTTCTGCTGTCCTGCATATGAGTTATTAAAATCTATTTACAGTGTAAAAGCCATGCTTTTTCCTTAGACTTCACATTTTATTGAATGTTCAGCTGCAGATGAAAAGGTGAAATATAAACCTACTTTTTTCACCCTGGTCAATAGAGTAAAAACATTAAAATGGCTATCTGTAAAATGAAAGTGACATCTGTGCTACTCTGCCTTTTCCAGGAACATGCTATTAGTTTTCTTTAGGTATTTTTGAGAACACTGGGAAGGCACCCATTCTCCATCACATCCTTTCTGTGTCAGGGGAGTTGTACAGTGGATGGAATATGCTGTGTGGCTAACTTTTCTTTTACCTGTGCTATTCGTAGGCTTTTTCATTTCTACTTTGTGTGTGCTGCTGACTTCCACAGTATGGAGACATGGGGAGGGAACATCTAGTCCTTTGCAATTGGACTTTTCAATCACTTGCAAGCTACTAATAAGCAGAAGGTATAATGTAGACATCAAGCTGTCTTGACTGACTGGTGAAGAATCAAAGCGATGTAGGTACAATCCAGTAATTGGCAAGACTGAACATAATAACTGTTCTCAGTACTTTTAATTTAATTGGAATTTCCTTGCCTGCTGCAGTAAATGAGGAGTGACAAAGCACAGAAATAAAATAAAAGGTTCTAAATCTGTTTTCACACTAGCCTAAGTGGTGTTGGTGATATTATTTTTCTGATTGGAGCCATTATAAAAGCTTCAAAGTTCAGCTCCAGGATTTGTTTTTAATATTTGCTAAAAGGTTTTTTGCAGGGCTATGGCAAATGCTCTTCTGTTTAAAAAGCTGCTGTTCTTCAACCTTTGCTCAGGAATGTTTTCTGTGAAGACTGTTCACTCAAGCCTTGGCAGCCCAGCCCCACTCCTGTAGCAGATCAAGGAGAATGGTTTGATATCCTTGCCCCAAAGCTCCAGTAAAACTGGGTTGCTGAAAGCACTGACAAGCTGCTGTCCATGTGTGGTCCAACAGTTGCATGTTTGGTTAAAAAGGCGTAACTATGAAGTATAAAGAAACAGAAACTTACAACTACTTCATTTCAAAGCAGGAACTTCAAAGTAGCATTCTTGCAACTGTCACAAATTTTTGGCTGCCCCTGACAATCTCATTGATTTAAAAGGGATGTGAAGCTGATTAGTACTTTGCAAGATCAGGCATATAGCCTTTTAATTTTGTCATCCAGGAGATTTATTTTTTTTCTCCAGGAAACAGTAAATTATATAGGCGCGATATGGACTCATTCCATATGGACAACTCAACTGCAGAAAGTCTATTTGCATATACACAACAGGGTGTCTCTATCAGGCTTTAAATAGCCATCCTGTTGCCAGAGATGTGCCATGGTACTTAAGTTTCTGCTGTTGTTTTGAATGATCCTGACTTCTCATTAAAATCTCTATTATGCTTAATATCTGATGTAATTACAAAAGGAAGAGTAATCTATGTGACTGCCCAATAATGACAATAAATGAGTTACCAAACTAAAGGTTCGTGAAAAGCAAAATATCACAATAATTTTGAAATATTTGCCCCGGTAAATCACACGGAAACCTGAATACTTAGCTGTGGTAGTCTAGAAAGTATTCAAGTGTTTATTTATTTATTTATAAATCATTGTCAGTTTTTTGCTGGTGTTTTAGCACTGCACTACGTGCTGAATATCTTGTTAAGATGTACATGTCCTTCTCTGTGTAGCTGACAAGGCCAAAGAAATCTTTGGTATAAGGCTGATGTGTGTTCTTGTTATACAAACTGGTATTGTCATGGTTTTCACCCTTGCCACTTCAATTCATTCAAAGTTTGTCTGTCTTACAGAGAGTCATACGACAGGGCACTGACAGACACCCACTTGTTTCAAAAAGAGCTTTATAATTTACTGATGTGAGAGGTTATTTAAATGCCAAGAGTAAGAACTTTAGCCTTACGTCTTTAAATGACAGCATTTAATTATAAGGTAGATTGTGTAGCACTATATCACGCTTTCCCCCTCCCTTTTTATCGCTTTTGCCAGCTTCACTGATGTATAACATGGTTAGCTCCATGACTGAATACTGAGGTCACAGAAACCATACGAATACAGATAATGTAAAACTCAGTTCACTAAAGAGAAACATTTTCGGTTTGGGGCATTAAATATGGAAACAAATTATTGCTCTAATGCAGATAATTATAATTTAACCTCATACTTTAAATTTCAGTGCTTGTGCCAATCCATTCAAACACACAGCCTCCATGGCGGCTATCCCTGAGAGGCTGAGGTGGATTTGCTGGGGAAGGCAAATGCACCCCCAGCTCCACCTCCCCTTCCAGTCTGTGCCTTCCCATCTGAACCTTGGTCTTAAAATGCAGCATTTCAGGTGAAAATCAAAGCCACTGCACAGTGAGTAAAATGGGGTGGGATCTCAACCATCTACTAGAATCCCAGCAGTTTCGAGCAGAAGAAAGAGAGCTGGGGAATGAACATTTTCTGGTTTTCCACAATTTCTATTTATCTAGCAACCTTATTTCACATACATGATTGCTCATTTTTGTTCTACTCCTTTTTTAAAACTACCAACAATCTTGTATAAAAATAAGAGCGTAAAAATAGTTCCCGTATGCTTATAGTGCATTTCCAGCCCTCTATATCTGCTTTCTGTCTGTTCTTAACACCCATCTGGCTACACAAAGGTCTTCTATCAATTCACGTAGCTGTTCTCTTCTGCTAATCAGTTAATCAGCTCTTTTTCACAAATTTATTTCCCAAATTCAATGTCATGCCAGTTCTTCAGTTCTCTCTGGTTCATCCATTCCCTTCTCTACCTTTATTTTCTTTCAGTTCAGTTCTCAGACTGTTCCTTTAAATCTGCTCATGTATCACTCCTTCATTTTTCAACTCTTTTCATACCTATTCCAAAGCTGTTCACTTTTTTCTCCTTTCCAGCACAGCACTTCACAGTCCATTACTTCATTCTTCAGAATTATTTGGTATTTTTCCCAGTTTACTTTCTCCATTGAGTTATTTGATCTTTATCCTTGGCCAACCAAATAGTGCAAAATAATCCCTACTCCAGCCAAAGAGTTAGTACCCAGCTCTCCAAAATTGATCAATTCATGGATTCCCTTACCGGAATTCATCAGTTTTACTCTTGGACTGTGCCCCACCCAGTTACTGAACCTGTCTACCTAATGGCAAATTATTTAGAAGCACAGAAGACATTTTAGCAAATGTAATTTAAATGTGGATTTTAAAAAAAAAAAAAAAAACAAAACAAACCACATGCCAAGCACTTTAAAGGGCACAGAGCTTAAATCTTAGATTAATGAAATGGATGAAGTGATCTTTTGTAGCATCTTTTTAAAGCTGTGACTTAAAAGAAAAGGCTGCAGTTTTATTTCTCTTTTCTAACTGAATCATAAGGCTGAGAAAATCTATTTAGTCTAATCTCTGGAAAATGGATTTCAGATTATTTGCATCATGCAGAGCATTTTGTTATGATAGAATTAATATGGTTTGAAAAGTTTTATGGTTTTAAATTCATGGTTTTAAAACATGAACAATGCACTATTATATGGTAATAAAAGTGGTGGTATAAAAATATGATCAATTATCATTTATCCTTCTAATCCCTAAGTATTATAATTGGCAGGTATTTTGCCATTAAGTTTGCCTTTTCAGTCTTTGCTTTTTTTATTCCATGAAGTTTTATTATGAAATTGCTTGCAGCATGCAGGGCTATTATCAACAAAGCAGCGAGGTGTTAGTCTGTAAATACTTAACAAAAAATTCAATTTCTCACGATATTTGCAGATGTAGATGAGTGCAGCAATGAAGGAACTGTTGCTTGTGGAGATCATGCAAAATGTGAAAACGTGGATGGAGGGTTTAACTGCTCCTGTAAGGAAGGTTATCAACCATCCACAGGAAAATTGCAGTTTAAGCCGAATGATGGCACTTCCTGCCAAGGTACATGGTATTATAAAGGTTTATGTGTTATTATAGAGCTACATCTTCTGAGAAACCCACCAGTGCCTCTTTATCTTCAGCTAGATTAATCAGCAAAACATGAAAAAGAGGCAAGGCAGTGGCATCTACATTTCCTGAGAATAGAATCATTTTGTAAATGTATTGTTGCTAAACAGTGTGATGAAATCCATTTGAAATAATGGTTGTCAGACCTGTACTCCTCTCTGTAAATTCAAGCTGTCTCTCAACTTCAGCTGTAGAAGTCCCAAGGAAAGGGGCCAAAGTCTCTACCTGAGTATAAGAAAAGCTCAGAGTCAGGCCAGTGCTGTTGCACTGATCAAGTCCCAGTAGTTGCAGTTTGAGAACAGTGATGTGTCTTATGTGCATAAATTCAGAATGCTGATGGCGTGAGGAATGACAAGAGCTCTTAAAATGAGTATATATTGAATATTGATTAAACTGCAGTATATAATTAGTTTCTGTTTAATTTCTACAGAAAATCCGAAGGCCGAGTGTGAGTTATACAAAGACTGTGTAACTGAACATACTAACAGAACTTTAGCTGGGGTAAGTAGCATTGGTTTATAGATTAATTTCTAAATCCTTTAATTGTTTCTGTTTGAAACTGTTATTTCAATTATAATAGTTCTTAAGGAGCTTTTAACAAATGTTTGAAGCATACAATTGAACTTAAACATGTTTACAGATGTCTTCAATAATTTCAAATTATTTGAACTGGGTTGTATGTTCAAATCGTGATAATAACTTGCTGGGAATCTGTGTGTTCTGTTTCCAGCACAGTGAGTCATGATGCATGAAAAATTCAGAAGTGTGATAATCACTCAACTGTTTCTGTAATTTCTGAAGTTACACACTGCTGCATTTACTGATGTGCAATTATTCGCTTGTTCAGAGTGAAAGGCAGCAAGATAGCTTACAAAAGTAATGTCAACAAGTGACAAAATAGAAAATGGAGCAATAATATCCTGGTATGCTAATATATTTACTCCCAAAGCATAGTATGTAAAGTGGTGCAGAATTTATGGACTCAAAGACTCTGGACTCAAGATTTCTTTTTCACCAGAAGCAGAGATTCTTGAAGCAAATTTAACAAAAGCCATTCATGAAATCACTATTCATTAGCCTACATTTATAGTATTGTCTAATTTAAAAAGATAAATGAAACATAAGCATAAATAAATCAAATCGAATTGTATATGTTGGCATTTTATATTAAGCAGTTTGTCAAAGTTACAAGATTCAGAAAGATACTCATTGAAAAGATTTTAATAACCTAGTGTTAATAAAATATATTCATTGTGTTAACATGCTTTCTCTGTTAACCTGAAATGTAATATACTATATTAAGTATAATATTTGCTTACCACATTTACATGTAAAGACATGGTAAATACCACAGCAGGATTTAGAGGTTTGGGGTTTGGGTTTGTTTTGTTTTGTTTTTAAAGTACACAGTCAATTAAAAGTAGTAAGTCAAAAAGACTTCAATTTTATGTAAATAGCTATGTCAGATTTTAGCTTAGTTTTTTAGCCTTAGTCTTTGTTCTAGTTCCATTCAGCTGCAGTCAAACACAAAGCAAGCCTCATAAAAGCTGTTCAGCTGCAGACTCTACAGATCTTATAAAATCAGGTGTTGGATTTGGGGTTTCTTTGATTATTTTTTTTGGGGGGGGGGGCAGAATTTTAATCTCATTAGATTTCAGTGTCATGAAACAAGAATTCTTTTCTTATTCAGCCTATTACTTTTAAAACCAATTGTTTTATGTAAGTGCATTAAGCAGTTCATAAACTGAAGTACTGATGGTGAAATAGGTAGTACAGTTTGATTAAACTACATGCTTTATAATCTGCATTTGAAGAAAAAAAGCCCTACAAAATATACTGTCTGTTTGCTCCCTCCTCTTCATCTAAAAATTTAACAGAAGAGTCAATGGATTGATCAAATAACTGATATTTAATTATTTTGCAGAACATTTACTAGTTAATTTTGGAGAATTAGGATAAATAAAACTGAGCTGCAATAGTGGAGAAAAAAAAAGTTTAATGATGGCATATGACTTATTTTTATAGAAGTTGTTTATTAAGGTTATACCAGACATGTATAACCTGTTGATTTAAATAGTGTCTCTTTTTATGCACAAGCATCCTAAAAGTCAGTATGTTAATTCACAGAAATTAGCCATTTGCACTGGGTTTACTTTCACTTGCAGAAATGTGATTTCATTTGTGTCATTAAGATGCGAGTTCTTGTATTTTTCAGATTAGTCATTTGAAAACACCCCTGGAGATGCTACAGGAAATTAATAAAAATACCTTGGGACCACTTTTACCTGTAGATGTGATTTCATATGTTGAAGCACTATCTTATTCATTGTTGAATACCAGGCATTACTCTGTTTCTGACAATGAAACACTTCGTAATACAACCATTAATGTGAGTAGATCAAGTCTTAAAATGGGGTGAGGGGGATGTGTGTCTTATTTTACAAATAGCGTATGACTCTTGCACTTAAACATACAATTTTACTTACAGGTTTTGGTTAGTACTGTGAACAATTTTTTACAAAAAGACAAGATCACAGTCTGGGAAGCTCTTGCTTTAGATAACCAAAGACGGAGCCTGACTAAGCTGCTGCATACTGCAGAACAAGCAACGCTTCTCATGTCACAGAACTTCAAAAAGACAACACAGCTAGATGCTAATGCAAGTGACATAGGTAAGATAAAGAAAATTAATCTAAGATATACTTTAGGTGTGGATTACACTGAGGAGTTTTTCAGCATGATTATGAAGATTAGAAATGGTGTTATGTGAAACCCACAAGTGTTAATTTGTATGAGTTTCATAACTAACACCTGACTTTCGGTGTAGGTATCATAATTTTCAACTACTGAACATTTGAGCCTAGAGCCCAGAAAAAACTTGAGAGGCTGTGGGAAGTTGTCCTTTCAGATTCTCTTTCAATCTCTCATTACAGTCACCTTGTCACAGTGAATCTGCATTCATCTTACATGTACAAAATTATCCTATGCATCTAATGTGTATAAAAAACCCCTACCAGTGGAATGAAATTTGGATTTGCTTTATACAGTGTTTTTACTCTTTTTGGTACAGTGAAGGTATTGTAAATGATCATGGAATAAGGATTGTAGCTAGTGAGTCTGATCTGGAGTGACTTTATTTTCAGAGAAATTTCCGTTTTAAGAGGAATATCTGAGGAGAACCAGATAGTCTAAATTTCACATTTTGCTTTCCTACCTTTCTCCCTGTGTGCTGGTGCCTTCACACCAAGCCCTGCTGATTTTCCTATATTAGTAATAGTTCTATCATTCCTCCAGTGGGAGCAGAGTAGGGCTAATACCAGCTGCTTTTGAAAATCCTAATAAAGCATTGTTTATTACTTCGGCAATGGTCACTCTTTGATCTTCATTTTTCTGAATGTACCCAAAGTGTGTGTGACCTGATTTCTTATTTTAGAGTTAGTACAGTCCTTCAGTACCTCTTACTGGTTTGCCAATTTGTAAGATGACTTGATAAGAAAGATTCTTCCTTTGATCCCGAGGCAGGTCAAACCACCTGTTCTTCCTTCACTTTTCTGAAAGTAAATTAGCAAGAGTGATGAAAAATGAGAGATTTGTTCCATTACATAAACTCCCTAGAAGCAGATTTATGTCAGTGCAGAGCACCTCTGGGCCTGCAGCAGATCCAGAGCGATGCCAGCATCTGCCTGTAAAGCCCCTGTTCCCCCGCCACCCTGGCAGAAAGGAGAGGGTCTCCTGGCTGCAGAGCTGAGGCCATGAAGGTCTTGAAGAGACGATTCAGGTGCAGCCTCCAGTAGCAGTGTAGATGTCAGTCAGATCAAGGCGAGAAAAAAAGCTTATCAAGAGAATGGTGAGGAATTTCCATGTCGAACGGTTGATGATATTGTGTCTTGCTTTTGTTCTAGAAGAAAAATTAGATGAGCTCTTTTCCAAATTGGACCCAAACACTGAAATTTTTTGTTATGGTTTTTCAGTGTCAATATATTTTCCACAGGGCCAATATTACCCCTCTCTCTCCACTGCTTTTCATGGGGCAAGCTCTTGAACTCCAAGCTTTTCAAAACTCCAGCTACAGAAAACTATTTCTTACATCCTGACAAACATTTTGTGACAGCTGGTCTATTGAATAGCTCATATTATTTTTGTGTGCTGTGCTATAAGCAATGCAGATGGTATAGCTTAGTGATATTCCTCCATCAGTCAAGTTTTAGATTTGTCTGTTGTTGTTTTGTTTTTAAAAAAAGGCCTGATTGACTTTTTTTGTTCCCATCTTGGGTGATTGAAACTCAGCACTATAATGAACCAAGTAAAGAGCTCAATGTCCTCTAATGTAGTTTTTGTCCTGAGGGGTGATGCTTGTTTGTTTGCTTTTTGACAAGACACATCATTATTTCATGGTGAAATGTGCATTTGGTAGCATGGATAGATAACTATAAAATATATACTTTTCAAAAATTGGCTTTTATCAAATGTTACTATTCAGTAGAGAATTTTGTGCTTTGCTTTTTATAATTGTGATTTGTGGTCCCTTTCAGAAATGCATTTTTAATAAAGCAATAGTTCTTCCTAGAGTAACCTACATTGTTCTTTCGAGTGCCTAATTTAATGCAAGGTGAATAAAAGACTGTCTTTTTCATGGAAAGAATAAATAGTATGAGAGCAAAATGTATGCAGGAAAATAACAAAACATAGGGATTTAAGCAAACATGTTATATTAATAGCATTTTTCTTGAAATATTTGGCACAATGATATACTCTTAAAATTCATGGTAATTATGCAATTCAATAGCACATTTATTAACCCAACTGTAAATTATGGTACACTGTAATGGAGCTCTGACTCGTACAGTATTTTTCTTCTTTTGCAGCACTCAAGGTTTTTGCTTTCGATTCGCATCACATGAAACACATTCACCCTCATGTATACGCAGGGGGAGATTACATAAAGATCTCTCCAAAGAAGAGAGAGGAATCTCATCCTAATGGTAAGAAGCAAAGGTTAGAGAGTAGGTGGGTTATTAAACACCTTGGATAGACTTGTACACGCTAGTAAATAACCAAATATGCGGTTTACTAAGACTGAGCTTCAGCCCTGCTAACTACAGAGGAGTCAAGGTATTTTTGTCACCATCTATTCTACTCCTTTGTTGTCTTGAGACTGATATTTCTCACATTTTCAGTGCACAGTGAGCTTTAACACTGCATATGGTTACCAGAGACCTGAGCTTTAGCCTTTTCTTAGCCATAGATCTGCTGTGACTTCGGACTGGCCCCTTCAACTAATTTTGTTACTTCTCCAAAAATTGGTGTATCATCTTTTCTATGTAAAGAGTAGCTCACTAGGGGAAGAACATGTTTTCTTCAGTACCAAAACCAGCAAGGCACAGATACTGACTTGGGCCTCATAGTGCTACAGAAATGGTTTGCAGCTACTGTCATCACTGAAAATAAATACATGTGTTTAAACAGGTCTGGAATTAAACCACCTAACCTAATAAACATAGAAAAGATTTATTAAATCTCAATCTTCCAGCTAATCTCAATCCCACCACCTATCAGTACCTAAAAAAGTTTATTTTGGTAGCAGGGAGGAAAATCATGACCTTTTCTTCTCATATCAGCACTGCATCCTAAAATGCCATTTGCTTTCTTTTTCGCTACGTCTTTCATTCTAGCTCCATTGTAATGGAAGTCAAAGCAAGCCATGTAATTCAGAGAAGCCCAGTATTTACCTCTGAGCCATTTTAGTTTGAGACACGACACCACATGTGTAGCAAACTGTGAAAGAGCAACAAGCATGTATTACTCTAGAAAATATGTACATGTATATATCTAATTAGAATTTCCAATGCGAACACACATTTATATTTCTAATGGCAGTTACATTGTTTTAAATAAAGCTATATTTCATTGTCTCTAAAACATTTTTATAAGTATTCCACAAAGATTCCATCTGTTTTGCATATATTATGCAATAGCAGTAATAATGTCTATTGTTTATTGTTTCCTTAATGTCTTCAATATTGTTCTCCTATAAAAACCCCACAAACTACTGAACATGGTCTGTTTGATTGATAGGGACCGTTGCAGTTGTCTTTCTGCGGTATAGCAATATTGGTTCTTTGCTTTCATCGCCTAAAAACCTCTCCTCAAAAGACACTTCAGAGCAGAGACAGACCGTAAGCTCATCAGTTATAGCTGTGGCAATTAGCTCAAATCCACCTACACTCTATGAGCTTGAGAAAATAACATTTACCTTAAAGTATGCCAAGGTAAGGGGCTTTTTTATTATCAACTTCAAATAAAACGAAACAATAGCTAATCATTTTATGTGATGTAACCATACCTGTAGGGTATGATATATTGAGACATAATTCTGTTGTTTGCTGATGTTTGTCATTTATTTCTCTAATTAGATTAATCCCAAATGTGACATCCTAAGTGCAATAAACTAAATATGATACAACTGAAAATAGCTATGGGACTAAAGCAAGGGCAACAATGCCAGCTTTGCTGGGTTGTAGTATGAATAAAATGTAGATGCCTGAAACAGAGAATATCACAGGGTCTTGAATATTCTGTATTTAGGTGGGGTTTCTGAAAGTTTATCACATGGTTAAGCATGCGTATTAAAAAATATAAAGAAATGCTTCCCTTACTGTGAAATGTTACCTTGGAGGTTGGAAAGAATACCAGAACCTATAGTATTGCGACTTTGTTATTTCTGTCATCTGAACACATTTGTTTAAAACTGATAATTTTACTTCCAGTGTATATAGATTTTGCTGACTTCACTTGTGCATGAAGAATCACCTTGCATTGCACACAGAATTATCAGAAACATAAAAAGGAAGTGACTATAAGAAGGTGGACAGTGGGACAAGGTGTTAACCTTGGTTATGCAGCTTTTAAATTTGTTATTTGCTTTTAAATATTTGAGCTAGAGATCACCTTTATATAAATCTGCATATATTTATACAGCCTATTAATACAGTGGGGACCTTAGCTTTGATGAGTATTAGTAAGCACTAACTATAATAAATAATACTAATGGTCTTCTTCAGCGCTGTCATCGCACCTGACATAGCAGGTGTGATATGACCCTGGCTTTATCCCAGATCACTTTGTAAAATGCACAGAATAAGTCTCAGTTTTCAAACTGCTCATTTGGAAGGGAATGTGAGCAGGACAAGCAATGTGGCTGTAACCTTGGGGTTTAGTCCGTGTTCCGCAGGATATAACAATGATTTAGGTAGGTAAAAATTCCAACGCCTTTGCAAGTGCCAGAAGGGTTCAGTAATCTGATTAGACTACATTTTTGGTAGGGTGTTAGCAGTATGGACAAGATGCTTCCCTCCCTAGCCATGCTTTAATTGCTTGGAATAGGCTTTGCAGAATGTGATTTTTGTTTCCCAACATTCCAAAGGTACAAGCAATTTCTAATGAATTGCACTGGCTAATGTAAGAAAGGTCTCTTGATAGGAAATATCCTGCCTTTTGCCATCAGTAAAACATCTTGTTTCTGTTCCAGACTGTGGATAAAGATGTTAAATGTGCATTTTGGAACTACTCAGCAGACACAATGAATGGCAACTGGGCTACAGAAGGCTGTGAGCTGACACATTCCAACTCCACTCATATCTCATGCAAATGTAATCATCTGACTCATTTTGCTGTTTTGATGTCCTCAGGTGGCTCTGTTGTAAGTTCTGTTTTAATTTAATGTTTCACCTCATACTTTTTTCTGTCCTCATTCCTTATGTTTTTATTTCAGTGCAACTTATGTACTTTCCCCCTTTTAGGTTGTCTCTTGGTTTTGTTCAGCAAACACACAATTTATTGTGCACAGAGCAAACAAAATTCCTCCCATATGTGTTCGATTTTCCTTTTGTCCTTTCTGCAGTATTACAGAACAGTGATGCAGCAAAGTATCTTGTTCCAAATACACAGTCTGTTGTGCTTATTTTTGGTGCATTGCTTTTAATTTTAAATCCCATTTTAAGACTGCTGTGGGATTTAACTGGCATTCATTGGTGGTCAGTAACCATATGGCCCTGAATTTCTCTCTCACAAAACTTTGCCACCCATTTGTCTAACCTTGGCATCTAAAAATCTGCTTTAAATCCTTTCCTGAGAGTTTGCAACAGCATAATCAGTGTGAAGTTTATGACTATTAAACATGGGCACTCATGACCAGCACAAAATCGTGAGAATGACCACTCAGTTTATCTCTTTGTTACATTAAGAGGCCCCATAGATTTCCAGGGTCTGTGTGGGGATCTGCGGGAGCTCAGGTCCTGCCTCAGGAGGCAGCTTTACAACGTATCAGAACTGACAGCAAGCAGAATATTAGCATGAATATACTGTATTGAGACAGTTCTTTCACACTGTGAATTTCATGCTGATAGAGGCTGTTTCCTGGTTGCTAAATAGCATCCTAAGTCTTCAGTTTAAATGTAAAACCTTTGCAGGTACTTATACAGTTATTTTGAAAAGGAAGGCTGGGAGGAGAATAATCTCTGGTTCTTTATTTAGAAAAAAAAATACTTAGATACATTTTATGGTCAGCTGAATACTACCTTTATGCTGATGCACAGTCATGTACTTCAGGAGATTCTTTGCGCAAATACCAAGCAGCAAATGTAACTGTATTCCTATATAGAAAATATTCACATCCAATATTAAAATAGCCTGTGTTTCTTTGGAGAATGTTCATGTTACATATCTGGGATAGCATTTGTTTGAAGTGATAGTTATTTCAGAGTCTTGTTTTGATCATGTTGCAAATTCACTAAGAAGGTTATTCAATTTTGCTTATCTAAGTCACTGCTGTGATAAGTCCTTTTATATTAGAAAATGTTCATGTCATATTAATATATGTCCTACTGCCAGTGTATTTGTTATTCACTAAAATGATCTGATTTTTTAAATCGTATTATGAGATACTGATGTTAATAAAAAGTTTTGTTAAGAAGTATCAGAAAATGCAAGAGCAGGAATATATGCAGTTCATTACTAATTTCCCCTAGAATTATATCTGTCTTACAAAAAAACCAATACTTTTTATACTATCCAAAGTGTAAGTTTGCAGTGAAACTCTACAAACAGTTTTGATTAGTATTTTGTAGAAAAGAAGAAAAAAAAATGTGTAATAGAATGAGGTCTTTCTTGAGAAGGTACAAAGCTGTTCTTTTAAATATTATATTATAATTTTCCCCCAGGGTGTTACAAATTATAACATTCTTACAAGAATCACTCAGCTAGGAATAATTATTTCGTTGATTTGCCTCTCCATGTGCATTTTTACATTCTGGTTCTTCAGTGAAATTCAAAGCACTAGAACGACAATTCACAAAAACCTCTGCTGCAGCCTTTTCCTGGCGGAACTTATTTTTCTGATTGGAATTAATATGAACAATAATAAGGTGGGTAGTTTTCACTCGTGTCTTGATTTTGTGTTGTAAAGTAAATATCCTGTATAAGATACAATCTTCCATCTACTTCTAATATTTCCTAGTCTCAGTATGAATATTCCAGTGACACTGATTTCCCAGTCTAGTAACAGGAAATATAAAATAGTTATTTAAAGAAGTAGGGCCTTCATCTGAACTGGTGTACATTGACATTGCTCTATGGCTTTCATTTAAACTTCGTCATCTTAACCAAGGCTGTGGTCTCGATGTGCTTATCATTTTCACTTTTCTCATCTATTTGGATGCTGTACAAAGCCACATTGCTGGCTTTCTGGGTGACAATTTTCCCTAAAAGCCAGGCCACATCTGCAGTGCGAAGCTGGTATTTAAGATACAGCAGTGTTGGCTGGAGGACCCGTTTTCTTTATACGTGTGAGGTCTTGACTTGTCCCTGTTGTTTTTCATACAAGATGGGCTGTTGATTTTTGCATCTCAGAATAGTTTTAGGAAATTAAATTATGCATAAATTATCAAAATATTGTTGCTGTAAGTAGTTGAATAGAATTTAAAAATACTTGGAAAAATATGAACTTCTATCCCTGAGGTAACATTCCAGTACTGATTGGTGGAGAAATATCATTTTACAAACACTTCGTAGTAAGAAAAGTAATTTTGAAAATGATTCCTTGTGATGCCTAATTACACTGTTATCAAAATTGTAAAAATGAACTTCATCTGGATCAGGAAATCATATATACTACTCCGATGTAACTATGGGATCAACCTTGTCAAGTTGTTTACATAGTTTTTCTGTGAAGATGTGCACTAGAAGTTGAACGTAGTCTCTTTATCTTACCAGTTGCTACAGAAAACATTAAAGAACAAGTGAGCTCATGGGCTTCTTGTCAATCAGTGTTACACGTGGGCTGCTGGACCACCACTTTAGAGTCACTAGGTTGCTGTGCATATGCTGTTGTATTAACAGAGATGTATTAATAGAATTATGACTCTTGCTTTTTCTGATTGAATTTCTAGCTCTTCTGTTCAATTACTGCTGGATTACTCCATTATTTCCTTCTAGCTGCTTTTGCGTGGATGTGTATTGAAGGTATTCACCTCTACCTTATAGTTGTGGGAGTCATCTACAACAAGGGTTTCTTGCATAAGAATTTCTATGTCTTTGGCTACGTCAGTCCAGCCGTGGTCGTTGGAATCTCTGCTGCACTAGGATATAAGTACTATGGCACCACAGAAGTGTAAGTCACTGTTTCTGTGTCCAAATCAACATACATAATAGTCACAATAGTCATACAATAGTCATAACAGCTGCAATAGTCACTATAGCACATTTCAAGGCATTTTCTGCTGTTTACTTTTCAGATGTTGGCTCAGCACGAAGAACAACTTTATATGGAGTTTTATAGGACCAGCATGTCTAATAATTCTTGTAAGTATAATTTTCATTTTTTTATTGTAGTGCATAAAACTGATAATAAAAGGTGTTTAATAATCACCCACCCATTGCCAGCATAGCTGTGAGTGCTAATTATAGGGCAGAGTTGGCTAATTTAGACCTTTTTATAGTGTCTCTCAATTATTTATATGCTGTACATCTAAATACTTTACTAGCCTGAAAAATGAATATTTGACCAAAAAAGCTCAATATAAGATCAGAGCCTCTTTTCTTACTTGCTTTCTTTCTTCTATCCCGATGGTTTCAGAAATTCTATGAAGCATTTCTGTTTTTTAAGAAGTAGCATCTCTGTATGTCATTGGCATCTCAGCATGGCTCAGCGGGAGGTGTACACAGACACTATCCTAGCAGACAGATAATCTGGTTTTTCAAATGTTGTGTGACTTAATCTCTTATCAGTGATCGGTCATCTTTGTAAGATTAGACTGTCATCTTTGTGGTTTTATCACTCGCATGTACCCTGTCATCATCAAAGCTATTTTAAACTAAATTGGGACGTCAGAGAAAAGAACCCACTATTTCACATGGGCAGACAAGTCAAGTATTGATAGCCCTATTTCAGCTGTGAAGAGGGCCTTTTTAATTCTTATTGGAAGTGGCTTCAAACCTACAAATTTGGCAGGTATTATATGTTCAATTCTGAAATAAGACAGTTTTGGTGCCTCAGGAGCATTTCTGAGTGCTATAAAGTTTAACAAACCATTCCAACTGTAATGGGGCATTATTGTGTATGACTGAGTTGACAGTGATCTGGCAATAGCTGGAGCTAACAGGATGAGAAGGTACAATGGTGAGGCCTTGTGACATTTGCAGTCCAGTCAGTTATAACCACTCATTGTTTTTGAAGCTATTTGGTGATAAATGTGAGGATTTGTAAAAAAGAACTGGCAGTGCCCAATACACACAAGACAATATAAACCAGTTTTATTTCAAAGTGTTTGCCATTTCAAAGCTGAATAATGTACCAGGTATAATTCTGATCAAATTCTACCCCAAATTTCTACTGTAGATTTGGGATAGCCTGGGAGCAACCTGCCAGATGCAACTGCAGGGTGATTCCTCCCCATCTCACCCTTCTGGTGAGCACAGCAGACTTTGACAGAGGCAAGGCACTGTATCCTCCCTTGAATCAATGCTTCTGGGGTCAGATTGCCCTGATGGCCAGCAGGTTACAACAGTAAAACAAAATCATGGGGAGAGACCATCCTTTACTAGGAAATTCTTGCAATTCTTAGGTTTAAGTTGACAATTTCCTATTTCCACTCTGGACCTTATCTCTTTCTTCCACGAAGGCAGCAGGGATGGGATTTTTTTTGTTGTTGCTTTCATTCCTGTTCCTCATCTGCCTTCAGGTGAAGATTTATGGGCAGCGATGTACCACTGCACTGTTAGCACAGGAAAACTGCTTTATCAAAATATACAAAATGCCCCAAATTTATGCATCTGTAAGCTCGTTTTCAGCTCCAGCTGAGCTGTGCTTAATGCAGAGCACAGTACAGAGGCAGAGCAGGTCTGCGGTGGCTTTCGTATAAGCCTAGCTGGCTGCAGAGGCAAATCCTGCAAAGCTAGGCTTTGAGGCCTGTAGCCATTCTTTGAGCACTCCAGATCTTCCAGCAATCCCTGCAAATCAAAAGCGGAGGTGATAGAAGTTGATACGGGCCCTATGCACCAGTGCAGTCCTCCTGTGAGTGAGGATAGAGGCCAGACAGCTTCTTTTGTTTTCTCACACTCCTTTGCCTAAGTGAAGCCACACAAAGGAGCTGTAGCTGGACAGCAAATAGCCTGGTGGTTGTCTTGCTTTTTTTGTATGTTATGGAAGGGTTTTGTGATAACTTGTTTTCACAGTATTCGCATACCTTTGTTATTGTCTCTTCATAATCATGCACTACTAGACCTGGGAGGAAAGACAACCCACTTACAGCAAGCTGCTTTGTCTGCTCCGTGATTTTTATCTTTTTTTTTTTGGAGCATTTGGACAGCTTGTTTTGATGGGGTGATAGCAAATTGAAGCCTGAACTGCAAGAGGGATGTTTTCAAAGAGAGCAGGGAGCTAGGTAATTGGCTTACATTCTATCCAGGTTAGAGTTTAAGGAAAATCTGGAAAACCTTAGGAAAACAGGCACATCTAGGAGATGAAGTTGGTGTTAGATGTGAAAGGCATGTTGGTGGCAGTAATTCTGTTTCCATTGTCCAGTATTCCTATTAATCATACTGCATGGGCACCACAATAACAGATTAAACCTTTTCCAAAGTAGTGCCACTCAGGAAGTCCTTTTAATTACAAAAGCCGATCTTTTTCCAGGATTTCCATTCTGCCCACAGCTAGTTAAGGGGGGAAGGGAGTGTAGGTAATTAAGGACTCCAAAAAGGAAATGTTGTTTTTGTTCTGGGATAACCAGATAGTTTACTGCAACTCTCATATAGAAAGCTGCAAAATCTGGCAGCTTCAAGTTTAGCTTTAATCCTCAGCTTCATCTACTAACTTGGAGTTTGCAGGTTTTCCAAACTAGCCTGGAGAGTTTGCTCTCTGAAATCTCTGGAAAGCCACTCACCACAAAACTGATTCTTGCACAGAAACATTAAACTCATCATCAGGACAAATGCCCTTGTACCCAAATGGTGCTTTCATTTTCTGAGAGTGGGGACCCAGGAGATTTGTGCTTTAGATTATACCGTAACATGGCTTTGAGACAACATGTGAGTGATATAGAAAAGAACTGGTTCTGTACCAATGGATTTTCTGTCTCAGGATACATTATTTCAAACACATCCATGGACTTTAAATCTGCAGTAATAGTGAACCATAGGGAGCTCAAGTGTTTATCAGGAGTACAAACTAAGTTCTCCTCATTGCCTAAGCAGAAACACTACTTCTGAAAGTATTTGTTTGTTAATAATAAGATTCTATTAGAATTCTTAAGTGCAAAGAAATAGCCATATCCCATCTAAATATTATTATTATTAGATTGGTGACTTTACATGAAAAGGAGTGGGTCAGGAGCTCCTTAGATGCAGTTAGCAAAGAAAGGGCATTTTGAACCTTTGTAAAACAAGCTGCAAGCTGAAGATAATTTCTACAACTTATTTCTTCCTCCTAATACTTGTAATCTTTAGAACCACAAACATTTGAGCTAAAACTATGCAGTAGATTAGATCAAAGCATACAAGTATGGAGAAATTATTTATAACAAATATTTAAACTTTTTAATAGAAAAGTGAGTTTATCACAAGTTTTAAGGGACAAACATTCACACACCCCACAACCCATGCCTAACTGAGGCAAATACAAATGTAAACTTCAGAGATAAAAGGTATGAAAATGAAAAAAAAAATATCCATAGAACATTTTCTTTTCTTTTGTAATAGACTCCTACAGTAACCATCTCCCTGTAATAAGAAATACCCATTTGTCTGCAGGGTAATGTGGCTGCAGTTTTGATAAGCATGTAATGTCAGCCAATAACAAACTCCTTCCCATTGTGGAGGACTTCTACATGGCTTTCCCCACCTCTGGCATCACAGCTTGCTCTGTGTTAAGTGGGAGCCACTCTGGGTTTTATCTCTCTATAAGGGATTTATTCTAAATGACTGGCATTTTTGGAAACTTCATCTTTTAGATTCTGTGGACAGAGGATAAATCCCTGCATTGCACCTATTGCGAGGGACAGCTTTATATATTGGTTGACCAGCTGGCAGTAGAAATGACATTGCTTGGAAGGGCTGGGCAAAGACTATTAATGCTGCATTCATGAAAGTCTACGAGTTATTAAAAGGAAAATTTGGAAGAGAATCGCTGATAGTCCAAGTACTGCTATAGGCAACCCTTCTAATATACTTCTCTCCCACAAGTTTCTCCCATTAAATCTATTCAGTTGAGCTTTGTGCAGCAAGTTCAGAGCCACCCATGATAACATGATTTTCACCTTGGCAGTGTTGACTTGATTAATGCAAGTTTGACTTGTACCCACTGTCACTGCCACAAGAAATTGGCATAGCCCTGTGAGGAACCAGGACTCAGAAGTGCGACATGTACCATTAACAGGTGCAATTTGCCATTTAAGAGTTAAAATCTGTCAGTACCATTTGTTGAGATCACCTTTGTAATAACAAAATACAGACTTGCTCTTTGAGGTCAGAATATTTCCAAAATTGAACATAATTCACATAATCCTCTCTGTGGCTTTTATCTAAACATCCTAGTGCTGTGCAGCGAGGAGGTAGCTCCTGTACGCTCTTGCTTGGTTTAGTCCTCTAATGTGTGTTTTTAGGGACCTTGAAGGTGTCTGGCTTGGCTTCAAGCTCCAATTTCTCGAAACAATTGGTAATTGCAGTGTTTGCAACTACGAAAATGGCTTATAAATGGACCCTGTAATTTTCAGAACATTCTTGTAAACTTGACTTGGAACATACAAGCCAACAGTTCATGGGAGAGGTGTCTTCGGAAAAGCCAAGTTCTTTTATTAGGCATTCCT